TCCCCTCCTTTCACTTCCACCCCTTACTCTTGGTTGCCCCTATCAGTAGGACAACAAGTAAATCTTCCCCAACCCTTTCACCCCTCAGATCCCTGCTGAATGGTAACATGGCACACTCCTTGGTCACTCCTGTCAGACAAGAAATTTTACACTCCAGATCTCACCTCACAAGGATTTTGCAGATTTAACATTAGATCTGGACTAACATGTTTTTCTTTTTCCTTTCCCTTCACTGCAGCCTGACAATGAAATCTCTTCAGAATGTAACCACGTAAGTATTGCTTCATTTTCTTTCATTTGTAACTAGCTATTGTATTTCTTCTCCCCGAGGCACTAAGGGGCTAATGTGATTATGGGTAATGGAAGAAAACATGTCCCCTTTTAATCTCCATATAATCTCAGTTTTTCTGATCAGGAAACTCTCTTCTCTCAGCAGGAAAGGGAAAAACTCACTAAGCATAATGAAATGGCACAAAGTTTATTAAATTCTATTTTTACTGCTTTGATACGGCGAAGAGTGGGTCAGCTAAAGCCTTTTTTGCCGTATACCCTCGCTCTGTGTGGCATTACATGCCAGATAAATGAGACTGGCAAAAAGTCCCTGTTGAAAGAGCCGGGATGCAAATGCAGCATAAAATAAATGCTTAGAGGTTATTAGATGATAACCTGAATAGTTTCACTGTCAAGCAAAACTCAGTAGCTTTTACTGATCTAGTTTGCATTGGTGAAATCAGTGAGATTGAGTAGCTTGTAAAATAGTACAGCTGTTGGTATTTAACAGTTGTTTTTGAGTTCCTGAAACATCAGGTCCTGATAAGGATGATTCAAGTGTCCTGAAAGAACCATGTGGTGAACTGATGCTTGCATTGTGAAATAGGAATGTTCCTCAAAGGCCTGTTGGTGTCATCCCTCAGGTGTATTCTGAAAGAAAGTGCAAGCTGTAAATTCTCCTAATCATATAAACTTGTGAGGCCAAGGCCTCAGGTCCATCAGTTTAAAAACCTACAATACTTAACTGCCCCAGGCCACCCCCAAGTCTCCCCAGAAATCAAAGGAGTCATGCGTTAGTATCTGAGTTGGAGCTGCACTCTAGTTTGGATCTACTGCTTAGTCGGCCTTAAAATACTTAATTGTTTTACGAATGCAGGGAGCAGGGTATGGTTCCAAGAGGAGCCCTCATTAGGGCCCAGTATATAGGAGCATGGGTGAGGGCACTACAGTTTATGTGTATGTATGCACATGCACAAGAGTCCATCTCACCCTTTCCAAAAAGTCCTCTCATCTTTGCTTAATTTTTTGAGTGCCAGCAAAGAAAAGACTTTTGTGGGACTGCTTTGTGAGAGTTGCTGCCGTCACCTGAAAGTTCCAAAGTTCTGTGTGGGTCATAACACATCTTCTGCCACATTTTTGACACACAAGATGTGCGTGTCTTTCTCTTTCTTGGTTCATGTATCTCTTGGGTCATGCATCAAAGGATAGTAAGTGTGATAGAGGATGGACTTGACCACTGAATATCGATTTAATTAGATGTGACAAACTAGCATTTGAAATAACAACATTTATGTGTTTTAGGCTGTTTTATAACATAAAGCGCATAAATGTTTTGCATTCAAAGGCAAAATTAGATCTAATCCCTAATCTTAACAGTCACACCTCTTGCTGTGTTGCATGTGCATAGCAGGAGGCATCATTGTGGAAATAGAGATCAGATCCCAATTCCATTCACTTGCTAGTGTGGGGAGCGAGCCATGGTTGGGAGTGCCCAGGACCATGATCCTGGGCTCCCACTACATCGACTGGTAGCAAGTAGTGTGCCTGTGGCTGGGAGTGCCAGCAAGCTGACTTAAGCTGCCAGTCCCCTGAGTTCACCAGCCCCACATTCTGTTTTAAGGTGCAATGACAACCAGCTGCAAAATTATTACTTGTACTTCGTGTAATAATTTTGTGGCTTATTCTGTATTTTATTGCACCATAATTGCATGAACATGCCAAAAGAGAACCCATAGATTTGGAGTGGCCTGTCGCACTGCAGTTTACCCTGGATATTGTTGAGGTAATAGCCCTCCAAAGAGAAGCAAACGGGGGACTGAATGCACAGCTCACTTAAACTCTAGCCAGGTTCTAGGTTTTCGTTAATAAACCCTGTCCAGTCTGTTACCTGCCATGTTTCTGAAGAATGTGTTGCATAGTACACCTAAGCCACAGCATGTGTGTATTTAGTGGACTGAAGGCATCAGTATGGGGACTTTCCTGAATTTTCAGTATATGTTAATTTATGGACTCTCCATTGTCTTATGACCCCAATTCCATTAGTTCTGAAAACGGATGCAACACATTCTAAGTCAGTTCATGCTCACATGAAGAGAACTAGTTTTGGTGATGATCTAGTGGGAGAAATAAAAAGTTGCAAAAATAAATCCACTGGTAACTTTGTCTCACAATTTTGAATATGGAAGATTACATTTGTGAAGCTGGATATTGGTCAGCTTAACTGAAAGAAATTGCTTTAAATCTAGTTCTAGACTGAAGCTAGTGCTTGCTTGTCATCCCTGAGCTATACGTTGTATGCTTCTGCACAGTAGAATTGGGCTACTGCACAGTTAATGTCTTGTGTAGATGCATCCCCTGTATAGGAGATCTCTAACCCCAAATAACATTCTTTTCCCCTCTCTTTCTTTCATATAGTTGTTGTGGAACTACAAGGCTAACCTGACTACAGACCCAAAGTTTGACTCCGTGGCCAGAGATGTCTGTAAATCCACCATAGCAGAGGTAAGAGGGATGGCTTATTGTCTCATTTTTGGGGGTGGTTTAACTACTGAAGCAGATATCATTTTAAATCTAATGAACATTTTGAACCTCTCTAGGTAAGAGATGATTTAGAGATGTTTAAAGCTGTGTTGTGCAGCCCAATGCCAAGCTGCATGGCATGGCTTTAAACTTGCCAGCAAGTGGGAAACGCATTGGCATCCCACACATGGATACCTTTAAAGCCATGATGCGCATAGCCTGGCACTGGGGACTGGTTCCCCACGCTGGGCTGCATTATGTGACATTAAAGGTCTGAGCATGCAGTGGGGTCTGAGAAATTTTATCCTAGATACCAAAAATTGCACATCCTGTCATGCATTTTGGTATTTGGGACACAATTCTTCCTAATCCGTTGTGTTTATATTAATGTCTGTCTAGATCTGTTCATATCAAGTATGTGTAAAACAGTAGACCCAGTAATCTTTGGCATATACGTTTTTTATTCTTTGTACGTAATGTAAAGAAGGGAAGGTTAATGTCTCATGGTATGGCGTCTATCTCCACATCTTTCAGAGGCTTAAATTTCTGTTAAGTTTTTCTGATGACTCTAAATTACCTAGATTTAACTAATACTTGGGTCTAATGTTCTTTCAAGGTAACATGTACTCAGAGAGAACTTGTGTACTTAAACCTAAATTAATGTGTTACACAGCATTGTATGGTGAACAAAACTCTTTTGCAGCAGCACATGGAACTGCAAAGCACAATAGGAAATGCTTGAGCAGAAATCTACTCTTAAGGTTTACATACTCTAAAGCACATGAGATGCTGTAGAATTGGGTGTATAATGCCATTCAGAATGTGAACACTGATTGTCCAACTGAAGTTTGGCTTGAATAGTGAAATAATCTTTGGTTTTAGTGGTTAAATGTGTGCAGTGTAAAGCAGATACGTGTATTCTGGAAACTGAGTTTAAAGTAATTTCATATCTGCTTGTGTGACTTCATCCAGCTGTTATCATGGCTTCTGTATAATGATTTTGCTTTTAATGATGGCTTCTACGTTGCTTTCAAAAGATAACTCATTACATGGATTGTTCTTTCTCTTCCCAATCTCTGTCTGTATTTAATGTTTTTCTTACGGTTTCCAGTAGTATTACTTCCCATATAACTCTGCTGATGTTACCCTTCCTGGGGCATTAGTGAAGATCAGTTGCTAGCATTTTGGCCGTGGTGTTGCTGCTTTTTGGTTTTAGCCATAAGACCCCTGAGTTCCTTTTTTTGGAGTCACTGCTTTCTACGCTAGAGTCCATCATGCAAGTATGGCCTGCACTCATTGTTCCTAGTTAAGACTTTATATTTGGCCATACAGACATAATATATTGTTTTCTTGCATCAGTGGTATTGCATTTATTCACCAAACTTGCAATGTGAAAAAGGTATATCAAGTTAGCATGGCAAGATGCTTTTATCGTAAACTCACACTGGTTTGTATTAACTAGGTTCCCAAATTAGCAGGGCAGATTTGATTTAAATCACTAGTCGGGAAGTCTCAATTTAATCATTGTTTTCCACAAAAAGTACATTTTTGTTGTTTGGTTTAACCTTCATTAAAATATTCCCAACCAAGGTCTCTTATGGCCTTGCAAGCCTTGTGCCATGTTGGGTTTCCCCTTCTACCAGTACCATTCTCTCACTAGTTCTCAAATCAGTGGAGACTCTATACTCAGAAATGTATCCCTCAAGACTTCTGGAATAGTTTGCTCAAAACATTTCTCTTAATTCTGCTGCCCCTTCCTCCTTGCACTGATCTCCAGAATCCTCCCCCTTGTCCAGATCTACACCACCCCCAACAAACCTCTTTCTAAAAGTGCAAAGTTTCAAGAAGTTAAATGAATAGAGGGAAGGGCTTGACTGTGTGCACGCAAACTTGTAGAGATGCAGTAGGGCTGAGGGTAGGTAATCAAGTCTGTTATTTCTCATCTTCATATATTGCTGTTAATGAGGATGTTATCTCTGGAGACACAAATTCACAGTTTGAGAACTGAAACTAAGCATCACAGAGATGCTTAATGGGATCTTCTAGACTGAGCACTTAGTCCTATAGGGTAGAGTATTTTTTTTAAGCTTTACTAATCTATAGAGGAGCCTCTAGGAACCCCATAAGATTGGGCCCCTATTATAGCCTGTGGTCTTTTGTGACCTATTTATAAAATGTTTCTAAAAAGGTTACATAAATGTCTCAAATAGTATATAGTTATAAAGTTATAATCCTTATTCTTTGCATCTTTGAATTCTAACATATCTTAAATTTAAAACTTATCTTTATATAGCTTTTTTTACTTGATTTTTTTTATTAAGATGCTTTTTAAAAAAATATGCTGACTTAAATTTTAAAAAGTCCAATTTTTAATTTGTTAATTCTTATCTGCCCTTCAAATTAGCCATTTCCCCATTTTTCTGATTGAGGGTCAGGCTGAAAGACTTGTAATTACCTAGGTAATCTTGTGATGTCCTTTTTATATATAGAACCAAAAGTAGCTTCTTTTCATTTCCTGAAACTTCCTCAGTGTTCTGAGATTTTTTTGATAATTAACATTAAAAGATGTGTAAATTTGAACATATTCTTTTCTTTGAGCAGATCAAAGACTGTGCAGAGGAGTCAGTTAAAAGAGGCTATTTGGTGTCCTGTCTGGTGGAACACAGAGGTAACATCACTGAATACCAGTGTCATCAGTATATCACCAAAATGACAGCCATAGTCTTCAGTGATTACCGTCTGATCTGTGGCTTCATGGAAGACTGCAAGGCTGATATCAACTTTCTCAAATGTGGCAGTATTCGACCTGGAGAAAAGGTATTCAGAAGACAAATGAGAGAGATTTGCGGTGGGGAGGGATCTCAAAGGGTCAAAGATCATTCACTTAAAGAATTTAGGTGCTACTGTCAGACTTTTATGTATAGTAATCTTAATAGCAAAGCTGGAAAATGGTAACACGCTCAAAGAAGTAAATAGAACAGTATTCTTATTTCAAGTAATAATTTGGCTAATGATTTGTTTGGGTTTTTATTAGTACTCCAAGTTTCTATTGGAATACTGGGGAAAATGTTTTGCTGCTAACCCACCCACTTTTGTCTCTATTTCTATCCCCTCACAGTCTGAACTAGTAGACTATATCCTTTTTGACCATACTTGTGTGCAGCCAAGGCTTTATAGGATGAATCCTGTAGCCAGCTTTGACTAGAGCTGTTGCCAGACTAATTTTGGCCTGTATTGCCATCCCTAACATTGGAAGATTATCAAGGAAGTTGCTGTTGTGGCCTGTCCTTTCCCATATCTTGTTTCTTGGAGTTGATTCAAGATGAAGTAGAGTGGTCTTGTTGTCCAGATTGGTGTTTTTTGTTTTTTTTTTTTTTTATTTGACCTTTTTATTTGCATGGCATGCCACTTGTCGCAAGAAGCAAAAGGAACATTTTGTTGATGGATACTTTGGGACTTCTGGTATCATTAATACTTAAACTTTTTTATTTATATAAAAACTATAATCCTTTTGTTCTGCCGTGGTTAATTTCAGAGTAGTTAAGATAAACCCTGTCACTTTGTTTCATGCCTTTCACTTTAAGATAGAAGAGCTGCACGTGCTCAGTTTTGAGGGTTTTTAATGTTTGTTCCTCTTTGGCTGTCTTGTCTCCATTCCATCTTCCAGCCCTTGCAGTAATTCATCAACCCGAGCAGCCTCACTTTTTTTCATTGGAAATGTGAGGTAATATCCAGTATAGGCTGCATCTGTTTTAGTTCTTTTTCTTAATGAGCCACTTAAGACAAAAATCAAATTTGGGGTAAGGTACCTAGAGGAAGTGGGAAGACATTTTAGGCACTATCTCATCCTTTCTGTTTCATCATAGCTAATGTAATGATCCTTCTGTCACCATATGTAACTCCATAATTTGTTTTGTGGTAAGTTCAAACAAACTAAACTTAATGTTTGAGTTTTCAGTGCTGGGAAGTATTACCATATTTACCTGAAACAAAGGCAACTTTGAATTCAAGATGACCCTCCAATAATTAGGTTCTATACATGGAAAATTAATACATTTGTTATAATTTTCCATGTATAGGGTATGATTATGTGGGGAGGTCATCTTTAATTTGTTTCCCCCACTGCTGCAGTGGGGCAAGTAGCAGTGGTGGGAGGAAGTTGGTTGGGGGGCTGGTGGTGAAGAAGTTAAGCGGCCCTGTCCATCTGTTCCTCTCCCCCCCGCGTGCACGCACACACGCACACCCACCCCCTGCTGCTGTCTGCACACCAGCAGCACACCCTGGTGGCCCTGCCCCCTGCTTCAGCTGTCCTCCAGCCTGGGGATTCAAGCACATGGTCACTTTGGGATCTGCCTGGCTGGGCTGTGGCTACCCTGCAGCTGAAGCTGCCACTGGCAGGACTGCCATGTGGCCAGACAGGGATCAGAGCAGCCATGCGCTCTGGGCTGGAGCAGGTCTGAAGTGGCAGGATTGGGGGGGCAGAAATGGAAGGCAAAGGAGGCAAGGGTTGGTGCAGCTCTGACTGACCATAAGCTCAGGTCAGCACCAGAGTCAGTGCTGCAACATCTGCCTGCCCTCTCCTCTGCACCTTGCCCCCACCCCAGGTCTTGAATCCAAGATGGGAGGCTTTTCCCTGTGTTACACTTGGGTGTGGGGGAGGGATTGGAATACCTTATCTTGGACTTGAGTAAATATGGTAAGCTGTTAAAGGTTAAATCCAACAATGGAGAAATGAAAAAATGTTATGAGAAACAAAGCAGAGGTGGGAAGCTCTGAACTGTTTGCTTGTTAGAAATCTTCACTTTTGTGAGAAGTTCACTTCAGCCAATCTTGTAGTACAGGAGTTTTCAACCTATTTTAATAAGTGTACCCACGGCAGCCCCCTTTTTAATAAGTGCACGCCTGGGGTGGGGAGGGGGGTGGCGAGTGGCCTGATGCTGAGTGGGGGTTGGGGAAG